CACTGATGGCAGGGACATGTTTAAGCATATTGTTTGGAATAAACCCATGCATGTATGACCAGGACCCTAATAGCAATACTTTTTCACTAACTTTTCTACATACATGTGAATGAGTAGAAATAATAAATACACAGAAATAAAGATATATGTGTGCACATAAATATATTCATAGAAGTCACAGTTACAGATATTTCTGCAGGGTTCCCAAGTGGAAGAAGCCTCTGGTGAATTCCCTCTGACTACTGACCAGGGATGTGACTAGCTTGCTATCAGACAGAGTGCATTGGAAAGTGGACTAAGGCAGATGTTTTAAGTTAAATTCTAAAACTTTATAATTTGTTCTTCCTTGTGATCCATTTTAGATTTGTTTTAGTTTTTATTATTTTCTGCTTAATTTATATAGAGGTTTTCTGGGGGTTTTGGTTATTATGGTTGAGTTTTTGTTTTGTTTTGTCTTTGTATGTTTTCCTTTATATTAAATCTAGGACAAGCAAATCTATAGGGACAGTAAATGGATAAATAGTTTCTTAAGGTTACAGTAGAGGAGATTATGGGAAGCTAATAATAAGTACTAGAAAGAAGAAAATGTTTTCAAAGTAATTGTGGTGATGGGTATACAACTCTTTTTTTTTAATTGTTTTATTGGCATATACTCCACATATCACACAATGTAATCATCCAATCTGTGCAATCATCACCAAAATTAATTTGAGAATAATTATTTCTAGTACTCATTGTTATTAGCTACCCCATACTCCCCTGCCATGCCCCTAGGCAATTATCAATTCAGTTATTATCTCTAGAGATCTTCCTATCCTGAATTTTATAGATAGAAAATCATAAAAAACAAACAGGAAGCGCCCCCCCACACAAAAAAAAAAACCCAACAATGACTAGGCAAAACATAGAAAAACCTCAATCTAAAAGAAAGCATTAAAAATGGGGAAAAAACAACTCTTTTTAATATGACTAAACCACTGACATATATGTAAACTACATGATAATAAAACTGTTGACAATTAAAAATAATAATAAATAAATAAAGAGCATGCTCACAATTG